TTTTTTGGTTGTATAAATGTTGGTGCCATCTTGCTAATTGCCTCGGCAACTATTTTAACATGCTAGTTAATTGTTTCAAGTGAATGTTGGAAAGTTTGACAATCATGAGGTGTGAGTTAAAGTGACTATATGTTGGTGAGAATAATAAATTTTATGTCGGTGAGAATAATAAATTTTAAAAAGTAATGATGTGATTATAAATTTTATTTACATATGAAATAAATGGTTAGTAGATATAAATGTGGGGTTGTTTTAACAAAATATAAACTCATGGATCAATTATTGTATTAAAATATCTCAAATCATGATATGGAATCACCATATAATTCCATATCATGATTTTTGGAGAATATGATATCACTTCTCATGATATGGAATCAGCGTAAAATCGCATGTCCAAACGCTGATTCCATCTCACGATACCATATCAGCATGGCCAAACGCCTACTTAATGATTATCTCTCGCTGGCACAAAACTCACTCCACGTGACTTACATTGCTTACTTCATTTTTTAACCAGGTAGTTTTAAAAATAATAATCTCATGATTCGCACAATCTAGAAGTCGCTTATAAAAATTCATCAACTTTAAATTATAGATTTGCCTCAATATAGGACTATCCATCATACAAGTTGATCGATAAAAAACAACATATACTCAACGATAAAAATTGAGTAGTAAGTAAATTGGCCTAGGAATAATCCAACAAAAAGAATAGGGTAAAACAAACAAGAAAATCCCATAGTATACATAGGTTCTTCACTAAAACTTAGAAAGGGTGAAGTTTTATTGTATCATTCATGGTATTAAAAGCCATGGAAGAAATAGTTGAGCTTCACTATTATTATTATTATTATTATTATTAACATAAAACTAATTTTGTCCTTATCATTATTTTTTGTAATTCAAAAAACCTCTTCACACCTATTAATTATCCAAATTATAACAATCCAAAAATTTCAAACTTCTTAAATTTTTTGTTACTTCTTCCCCAAAACGGCAAAACCTGCCGCTTCCCCTTTTTCTTTATATCCTTCTTTCTTTCTTTCTTTCTTTTTTTTCTATATCAAGCATCAACAAAATAAGGTACTTAATTTTTTTCTCTTTGTATGATTTTCTTAATATATGGTTTATATGCAAAAATTGGAATGTATATGTTATAATTAAGGAAAAAATATATTTGATTTTAGTTTCCTTTTCATTAGATTTTTCTTTTGCAGTGTTTGAAGGAAGATGGATGATTTTCATAAACGTCTAGCTAGTTTGAAGAGTGTTTTGACATGTGGAATTTGCAAAAAGCTATGCAAAGATGTCACAATTATTGAAGAATGCTGTCATAGATGTAAGAAAATTTTTAATTTTCTTTTTTGGGTTTATTTTTTTCATTTGAGTGATGTTAATAACTTATTTGTATTTGTGATTTCATTATCTTGATGTTCAGATTTTCTTTGTTATGTTCTTTTCATTGTTTTTTATTATTCTCATTGAAGCGGAGTTATCGAGATAGTCTTTTTAGCTCCGCGGTCGGTAGGCTTAACCCTACTTTGTGAGAGTAATGGTGTGTGGTGTTGTTGTTGTTGTTGTGGTGGTGTAGTTGTTCTTTGTGATTTCATGATCTTGATGTTCAGATTTTCTTTGTTATGTTCTTTTCATTGTTTTTTATTATTCTTATTGAAGCGGAGTTATCGAGATAATCTTTTTATCTCTGCGGTCGGTAGGCTTAAACCCTCCTTTGTGAGAGTAATGGTGTGTGTTGTTGTTGTTGTAATTTTTTGGATTCTTTATTTTTAGTTTCAAAGATTTTGATAAATTATTTGTTCTTGTCATTTCAAGATCTTGATTTTTTTTTCGTTCTTTCCAATGTTTTTTCTTAAAAAGATAAATTTAAAGTAATTTTTTTGGGGTTCATTTTTATTTGAGTGATGTTGATGAATCATTTGTACTTCTGATTTCATAATCTTGAATTTTTTATTTTCTTAGTTACGTCCTTTCCGATATTTTTCTTATTCTCAAAGAGGCGGAGTTATCGAAACAATCTTTCTATATTTGCATATCATCAAATGTAGTTTTACTTTTTTTTTTCCGTTCTTTCCGATGTTTTTTTTTTTTAAAAAAAGATTAATTGAAATGTAGTTTTGGGGGTTCATTTTTTATTTGAGTGATATTGATAAATCATTTGTATTTGTGATTTCATGATCTTGAAATTTTTAATTTTTTAAATATTCTTTTCATTGTTTTTGTTTTAATTTAAAATTTAAATTTATGATTTTGGGGATTTCTTTTTTTTTATATTAGGAATTTTGATAAATCATTTGATCTTGTGAATTAATGATCTTGATTTTTTAAATTTTTTTATAATCGTTCTTTCCAAGGATTTCCAATAGAATTTGTGTCATTTTCAAGGTTTATGTGATTTAGGTCTTTTATACATGAACTTAGTACATATTATGTTTCTTGATTTAAACAATTTATTTATTAACTTTCCTGTATGATCAATTTGTTTCAATATGGTTCAACATTTTTTTTTGTTTCTTGTCACTTTTTATTTTTAATTCATTACATGTCAAATTTCTTTATTTTTATGGGTTTTTCTATGAAATTTGATTAATTTATTTTAAGTATTTTTTTAACAGTTTGCAAGAAATGCATTACGAGGAAGATATCAAAAGGAAAATGGAATGTTTGTCCAGAATGCAGTATGGATTTAGGTGTTGCTCCCTTGCATAAACTCAGGTATATACTATTTGCCGCTTTAAATATTTTGAATTATTAATTGTAATGATGTATATTTTTTTTTAAGCTTCCAATAAGTAAGTTTTATTGAAAAAGCATGAAAATCGTATCACATAAAGTAAAATGGAGAGAGTTATATACTTCTTTTGTCTCATTTTATTATGGTTGTGTTACTATTTGTGGAGTCATATAATATTTTCTTTAACTATAGATTTCTCTCCTTTGAATCATTCACTATATTGACTTGCAATATTTTTCGTGTAATTTTCAAATATGCAATTTTATTTTTAAAAATTTGAACGATCTGCACACAAATTCTTAGTCAAATTAAGTATTTTGATTTTCTTGTGTTGACCATAGGCACATGTTGCAGCATTAGATGGTATGGATACATTGTTTATACTCCTTCAGTCCTATTTTTATGTTTTAGTGTTCTTATTTGATGAGTCAAAAAAATTTCACAAAACATATTTTGATTCATTAACTATATTGATTTGGAGTATTTTTCGTGTAGTTTTAAAATATATATATATACATTTCATTTTTAAAAAATTAAAGAATTTATATCCAAATTCATAGTCCAATCTTCATACTCTGTACCCTTTCACATAATTTGAGACAAATGGAGTACATATTATAAGTAAAATTTTAAATACAAGTACAAGATTTGACTTTAGCTTCTCTCGAACAAGTAGGAGGAACTGTAATTTTGTTCCATATATATATATATGTGTGTGTGTGAAATTTAAGTATTGATATAACCTTATAATACTTAATTTTACAGGCCTGATCACCAACTCCAAGGGATAAGAGACATATTCTCAAGTAAAAGAAGAGAATTAATTGAGCTTGGACTAATAGAAAAATCCAAAAAAAACGAACCCAAAAAGTTAGCTCGTGAGGATATTGATCTTAATTATAGTGTCGAAATGCTCATTGATCCATCGCCTCCTCCTGCTCCTGCTCCTATTGTGATTGCTACAAGCTCAAGGAGAAAGGAGAAATTGATTTCTTCCATAGTAAATACTACACCACTTGTTGATGATCAAGTTTCAAATCAGGACAACGTTTCGAGTAGTAGTACTGGAAGGGGGAGAGGAAGAGGAAGAGGAAGAGGAAGAAGAAGAAGAAGAGGAAGTTCACAAAATAATGCTAATGATGTTGATCTGAGTAATGGAGATACGCATCCAGGAAGTTTAATCATTCCTATTCTTTCGAGCAAAGATGCTCAACATAAACAACAGGTACAATTGAAATCTATTTTATGTTTTAGTCATGACGAATCATATAGCTGACCTTAACGTATTTGGTATTGAGGGGGGCGGGGGAGATTGTAATAGTTGTAGTTATGTGGAAAAAAATAGTTCTTTTTTTGGGACAAACTAAAATGAAAAATGCAATTTTAATTGATATAATCAGATAAAGGGAACTAATCAGCCAGAAAGTTCAAGCATTCCTCTTCTTTCGGGCAAAGCTACTCAACATAAACAACAGGTATGAATTAGTCATATGCTAAGTTGTTACTTTTAACATTGTACTTGAGTTGGATTCTTCTAAAATAAACTATACTTTTGAAGAATTTGACACACATTCATTGACATTTTTAAAGAGTCTGAATATCATAGGCCGATCATATGTTAGTATTAGGTAATTATTTCTTGTCTAGTCATTAAAGAGTTTGAACAACTAGTTAATGTTCAAGGTGAAAGTAATTGACTTGGTTGGAATTCGAGCCAAATCTAGGCTGGATTATGTGAGTTCAACTTATACCAATACTTTTTATTCAAATTATGCACATATGTGGATCACACTCATTCTCAACATAGGTATATATAAGTTCTAAACATTTTGTTGACTGTTGGACCAAGATCGATGAGGCAGATCTATCCTCATCCAAAGGGAGTCAATTGACAACTCTTAACAAAAAATTACACTATATATATATACTATATGTTGAATTCTTGTTCGTTTAATTTTTTTCTAAATACTTTGAATCTTCTTAGTGAATGAAAAGTGTAGTAACTCTTGTGATCACTTGTTGAAGGTTGAGAGTATTGCTTATGCTGCTGAGTCTTCAAAGAAAAACAAAAGTATTGAACCATTATATGGGATCAATGACGTATGGGAACCATTGAACAAATTGGTAACAAAAGGTGACACCTTAGACAATTCAGAAGAACCAGTTCCAAAGTTCATTAGTAGTACTCCACAATTTAATCTTGATGATTATGAAAATGAGGAAGACAATGATGATGATGAAGAAGACGATGAGTATGTGCCTTCACCAACAGTTAAGGAACACAAAGTTAGACAACAAAATGTTGTTAAAAAACTAGATGCTGTTCAATCTATAGAAGCACCATCAAGTAGTAATAATAATAATACTGATAAAGGAAAAGGGAAAAAGGGACGACGTGGAAGAAAGAAAAAAGAAACAAATAATCCTCTTTCTCCTCCTCCTGTTAGCAGTGGTGGTGATGGTGATGGTGGTGGTGGAACAAATCTTAATGTGGCACAAGTTGAAGCTGCTATTGAGATAGAAGGAGGTACAATCAGTGGTAGTACAAGAGTAGTTAATGAAAGAGTACATCCCATTTGGTTCACTTTGGTTGCATGTGATAAACAGTGAGTTTAATTCTATGACTTTCAATTTTATGTATTACTCTTCTTTGTATTTTGATTTATGTGACAATATTTGACTAGATATGGTTGTTCCAGGACATGTCCTTTACCCTTACCACAAATTTCTTCCCGCTACATAAAGATCAAGTAAGTCTTTAATTACATTTAAATATTTACAAAAATATTATGTCCTCTCTCTCTCTCTCTCTCTATATATATATATATATATATATATATATATTCTTGAAGTTCTAGATGGAGAATAACACTGAACATATCTTACAACTATATAAGAACTTAATGGAAGTGTAACCCCCCCCCCCCCCCCCTTCTATTTT